GTTCATGTGTATGGGTGCTTAATTCATGTGTATGTGTGCTCAGTTCATGTGTATGGGTGTTTGTTCAGTTCAAGTGTATGGGTGTTTGTTCAGTTCATGTGTATGGTGTTTGTTCAGTTCATGTGTATGGTGTTTGTTCAGTTCATGTGTATGGGTGTTCAGTTCATCATGTGTATGGGTGTTCAGTTCATGTGTATGGGTGTTCAGTTCATATGTATGGGTGTTCAGTTCATGTGTATGGGTGTTCAGTTCATGTGTATGGGTGTTCAGTTCATGTGTATGGGTGTTCAGTTCATGTGTATGGGTGTTCAGTTCATGTGTATGGTGTTTGTTCAGTTCATGTGTATGGTGTTTGTTCAGTTCATGTGTATGGGTGTTCAGTTCATGTGTATGGGTGTTCAGTTCATGTGTATGGGTGTTTAGTTCATGTGTATGGGTGTTCTGCCTGCATGCATGTCTGTACATCACATGCACAGACAGGTGCCCTTGGAGGCCAGAAGAGGGTATAAGAGCCCCTGGACCTGGAGTTACAGGTAGTTGTGAGTCAGCATGTGGATGCTGGGAACTGAACCTGGGCCCTCTGCGAGAGCAACAAGTGCTCTTAACCTCTGAGCCACCTCTGATGCCTATACTTCTCAGCTTTCTTGTTTTTGTTCTTTGTGTAACAGCTCTGGCTATCCTGGAACTTCCTCTGGAGACCAGGCCGGCCTCAGACACCCAGAGATCCTCCTGTCTCTGCCTCCCGAGTGCCGGGATGAAAGGCTGCACCAGCACAGCCTGGTGCTTCTCAGGGTTTAAGAGTCCCTGTGTCTTTGATTTTTAATACTTTGATTTCCATGCCTATCACCAACATGTCTGTCTACATTTATTCTCCTTGGAATTCCTTAAACTTCTGGAATTTATAAAGCCATGTCCTTCCTCAAGCCATGATATTTTCAGCCAGTGTCTTTTGTTCTTTTGAAACAGGGCTTACTATGTAGAGTGGGCTGATCACAAACTCAAGACAGATCTGCCTGCTTCTACCTTCCGAGTGCTGGAATTAAAGGTGTGTGCCACCACGAACATCAATACTCTTTGTTTCTTTAGAAAGACTGCTTGCTAAGTTGTTTATTCCTTTGGCATGTTTCCCTTTTCCTTTGTATGTCTAATGACTTTTTTCATTTATGAAAAAAATTAAAAACACTAACTCTCCCACTTTTGTTGACCAGATACATGCAAGAGGGAGACTTTTTTATTTTTATTTTTATTTTTTAGCTACCTGGTCTTCAGGGCCAGCCATCATGAAGGCTGGCCCTGAAGTCAATTCTCCAGCCTTTTCTTGATACACATCCTGCCTGGCCTTTTCTGTAGTTTATCATATTCTCATACACACTTCCCATTAAATTTCTGAATATCCCTCTATCTCCCTTTTTCATTATTTTCTTGATAGAGTCTCATACATAGCCTATATTGGCCTTGAACTTACAACCTTCCTGCCCAGCTTTCTTTTTTTTTTAAAGATTTTATTTATTTATCATGTATACAACATTCTGCATCCATGTATATCTGCACACCAGAAGAGGGTACCAGATCTCATAACGGATGGTTGTGAGCCACCATGTGGTTGCTGGGAATTGAACTCAGGACCTCTGGAAGAGCAGTCAGTGCTCTTAACCTCTGAGCCATCTCTCCAGCCCCCTGGCCAGCTTTCTTAAGTGTTGAGATTATAGATATACGCCACCAAAGCCTAGGTTTTTTTTTTTTTTTCCTTTAGGTCTTTTATTGTTT